CGTTTTAAGATAAGCATCTAACATTAATTTATTAATTTAAAATACCTTTGAGCAGCAGCTAACATTATGGTAAACTAACATTTCATAAAATTACCCATTAAAATCGAATAAAAAATGTGGTCTCGCTTTTCAAAAGTTTTATCTTTAAAATAGCCTATTTGGGTCGTAATCTTTTGGCCATATTATAAACATAAAAACTGGCTGCAGAGCGTATAACACTCAAAGCTCACCCGGGGCCACTTTTACCTATGGTCTGGCATATAATTTGGCTAAAGGCCGCTGAGCTCCCCATGGTTATTAGATTGTTTTTTTTTCAGCTCTTTTTTATTTTTTGTCCAGCTCTTTTTTCTGTGCTAAACGTCGCCCCGATGCTAATCTGTAGGTGTGCGTTTGGCGAAAAGGTATCGATTACTGCCACCGACTTACGCAGAACACAATGAGAGGCACCCGCGAAGTTTCAGTTCTTCTCGGCAGACAAAAACAAGTGTTTGGGCGGCAGAATAAAAAATTCCAAGAAATCCTCGAAACCTGGAAACCTCGAAAAAAGAAGGAAAAATGGAAAGCTTTGTGCGGCGGCGCCTGGGCAATTAATTTGCTTTTGAAACTCGGAGCCTGGAACTCGGAACTCGGAGAAACCAAAAACACGGTGTGGGTTCAGTTTGGGTTTAGGGTTACTGCCCATCAGTTTGAGAGGTCTGGCATTCATTATACGCCGTTTTGCACTATTTTTTTCCTGCCCCAATGGCCGCAGTCCGAAAGTCGAAAGGGCGGGGCGGAGCGGAGCGGGCCAGAAATCATTAGAGCTGCCCGCAAGCCCAATAGCCTGGCCGAACTATATCGTGGGAATATGGCAAATAAACTCGCCCAAATTACACACACACAGAGAGCGCTAGAAATGGAGAAAGATCAGGGATCTGTGGGGTTTTCAGAGGGAGTTATCTAGTCTGCGACCAGACAATTCGCACAAGTCAAGTCTGCATAGAGAGAAGAGTGAAGGGTGGAGAATCGAGACGAGACGAGAAGACAAGACGCTTCAGGAAAAAGTGCAATAAAAATTTGCGCAAATTTCGTGTTTCTCTTGGCCTGCAATTGGTATTGACTGACTGACTGGAACTCTGGGACTCACTCGAGTGGACTGAGGATCGGCATCGGAATCGGGATTCTCCGAAACCCGACTGACGCCCCTGATGCATATTAAAACTCGGCTTTGGATTGATACCTGCACGGCGAAAAAATTAAATAAATCATAAAAAATAGATGCGATGCTTTTAAATGGCGCTCTTTAAGAGCCTTTTTATTTCTTTGTTATCTGTTTACATGAACTTTAATATCACTTAAAATGATCTTTAACCCAGTTCACTTTAGGCTTATTTATTTTAATTTTTTTTGTTCCTAACAAGCATTTTTATGTCCCTTAAGAGTTTTAAATGGTACTTTGGAGAGGTTATAAAATGTTACTTAAAAATATTACATGGCATTTTGAAAAGGATAATTAAAAAAAACTAAAAAAACTATTGTGTCTAAATATCAACTATTGTGTCTAAAAAAAAATATAAATAATATTGTATTAATAAGAATTTTCTTATTTAACCTTTTAATCTTCCAACCTTTAAATTTAATTTTTACCTATTAATCATAGATGAAATTTCTCTCTGTGTAGCCCTAGCGGGTGGAGTTCAGTTTTGGGGTGGGTTGAGGAGTTCAGTGGTCTTGTGATTTATTCGCTGCCCACATTTTTACGATGGCGCTCTGAGGGCCCGGGCCCTCCATAAAAAGTCAGTCGGAAAACGAAGGATCTGAGCCTCTCAGCCCCATAGATGCGCATTTAAAATCCATTTAAGTTAATAGTTTGGCATTATGTTACCCCGGCGGTTTATGTGCTAATTAGTGAGGGACAGCGATTGGCATTGAGATCACTGGAATCGCAATTGGAATTGGAACCTGAAATCTGGGAGAATCGGAAGAATCTGAGCCAAACAAGATTTGTGCCTAATTTCTGTGGAGCACGTTAAGTTTTCCATCGTCAGTTCACTGTTTTTTTGTTCTTCTTTTTTATCTAGTCAGAGGGCCGAGGACCAGAATTCAGGCTGGACCAGACTTGATTAAGATCTTTTCCACTGCGCCAGAGGATCCCCAGTCGCAGATTAAACATGTGGCTCCACACAGTGGCCACTGGCTGTGGATGATCCCACAACGCCTCGCTAAGAATCGTGTTTATGCTTTTAATTAGCAACAACAACTTGTACAGTAGTTGCCACAACGGCGAACGGCCAACAAGTTGGTGCTACTTAGTGCAGATTTCAAGGTAGCGATAGATATATTAAGAAATGTTGACAAGTCTCGCTCACTCAGATAAATTTTGATGTAGATTACAGCCAGCCAGTCTTCCTCCATCCTCCAACCTCCAACCTCCATCTCCACTTCCATCCACCCGCTACAGCTTTATATATCTGATCTATCTCTGCCTGCCCATTAACACGTTTTTGGATTTTTATTTTCCTTATTCTTTCGGCCATGCATTACGAAAGGCTGATGGCATTATCATATTATCGCCTGCACCGCTGGCATCTTGTTTATGATAAATATTTGAGAAACTTATTAATTATGCCACAAATAGCCAGCCAGATAGCAGATCGCAGAAGCCTTTGACATTTTTAAGTAGCTAATTGGGAGAGGAACGCGTTCCCAGCTGAGTATGTGTGGGAGGATCGTTATGGATTGTTATGTTTTGGCTGGGAGTTGAAATGACCAAAGTTGGATCTTACAAGATACTAATCGAGTGGGGGTCAACCAAAAGCAAAAGCTAAGTCGGGGAATTCCATTTATAATGCACAATCGAACTTAAATAATATATATATTATCTAAGGATTTATAAGTTTCTCGGTTATATAGTTAATGGTTCTTATTAGAAATGAAATAAAATTTTGTATTTAATATAATGAGTGCTAAATTAAAATGGCTATTTTAATCATTTAAATTTTTATTTTTTTAGGGTAGAGAACTTTTTTTTTAGGATTTAAATATACCCAAAAAGGAGTCTATTGAATTTTCATCAATTTTTAGATGTATTCTTTTGAGGACCTTTCACCACAGCCAGCCCACACAAAACGAACGCCCTGCTGAAAAGCTGAAAAGCAAACATATATGTCGGCCTGACCACAAGAGTAAGAGACTCGCAATCGCAGCATTTAAATCAATATTCATTTTAATTGTACAAATCACCTTGACTTAAATGCGCGCCGGCTCGCAAGTGAGTGTGAGCCCCGCTCGACCACTCAATTTTCGATTCTGCTGGGACCGGGCTAAAACTGTTCTATTACGGGCCCGTTTCCAAGATCCAAGATCCAAGTACCGAGTGGTCAGTGAGTGAATAGGCCTTATGCATGAATATATTTCAAAGCCAGAAGGCGAACGAAGCGTTCGATTTGGTCTCAGATTCAGATTCAGTTTCTTTTTTAGTTTTATTTTTATTATTTTTTTCTTTATTATTGCATGCCTCTGAAGCGGTTGTTGCATGCAACTCACAGTCACACGGACGCAGTGAGATTGTTTTAAATGTTAACATGGCCATTTAGAGGCAATAACAGCGGCAAAATGGCAGACAGTCGAACGAGGAAAGCCAAAAAGGCGCGGGCACTTGCTGTTATTACAACAATATTACCAATATTTATCATACATAAAAAAGGCTTGCAAAATAATCGCCAACAACAACAACAACAATGGCCGAGCAAAACGTCAGCATAAATAACTAAAAAAAATAATACTCATACGCCGCATGCGCCGCCGACGCCGACTGCATAAAAAGACAAATTTATGATTTATGATTTCAACCTTGTAAATAATATGCTCACAAAAGTACACACGGACAGTTTCTGCTAAACGCTTGTGCCGCTTGTGCCCAAAAGCAGCAACAACAATCGTTGCTGACCAACCTACTTGCACAATTTTTCCGCACAAGGCATGTGGCAAGTGTGCCCCACATCAACCACCGCTTGAAAACCACCGAGAAACTGCAGAACCACTGCATCTGAACCCACCAACTGAACCACAGCCACATACCGCTACTTGCATGATTTTTAAATGCGCGATGAGTTATTTATGCATCGGGCATCGAGCGGCGGTATGTGCGAGCCATCCTTAACCCATTGTGGTCAGCCGATCAGAGGGTAAATAAATTGATCTTAACTGAATAATCACTGATTTTATTCGAATCGAAATTCAAGAGAATTAGCAGAGATTTGATGATAGTATAAAAACTATAAAAAATAAGGAACCACTTTATCTGTGGATTCTTTTTTTTATCTTTTATTTTATTTTATTTTTTTTTAAGGAACACATTTTATTTAATTTAATTTAAAAATATAGAAGATACATTTTATTGCTTTTGAAAATCAAACATTTAAATTAATTTAAAACAAATTTATTTAGAACATGAAAATATTTCTGATATTTAAAATCAAGGAAATCTACCAAATTTTAAATTTAATTACAATGCTCTTTTACTAAAGTTTGGTTCTGCCTTTAAATTAAAGTGTATAGTTATTTCTTAAGGTTTTTATACATTTATAAAATTAAGTAAATATTATTAATATTTTTGTTTATTGGTATTTGCTTTAAGTCTTTTAAAATTATTAAAAGGAAATAACGAAAAATTTTTAGTAGGATGAAACGAATCAGTATATTCTTAATAGCCAAGTTTTTCGAGCTTCTTTATCAAGTAACGTCAAATAAAAATGGTATGTTTAATTAGCTAAATGACGGGTGTCCGTAGAAGTTGGCTGTACCTTGGTATTAAGCCCATTAAAAGCAAATAATGTTGGAATTCCACCTCGCAATGGGTTAATAAGCCCGAGAGCGTAGGAAACACACTCGAGTGTTCGGCTGTGAAAACACATGCCCCATGGATATGTTGCATTCAGCCTGTCCACTCTGCAGTTATTAAGCCGTAGCTGTGAACAAGAGCCCATATATTCTAATTGTTTAACCATATCCCATTGCAGATTCGATGCCAACAAATCGACGAAGGGCGCCTCGAAGATGCGACGCGATCTCATAAATGCGGAGATAGCCAATCTGAGGGATCTCCTGCCTTTGCCCCAATCGACGCGCCAGCGCCTCTCGCAGCTCCAACTGATGGCTCTGGTCTGTGTCTATGTGCGGAAAGCCAACTACTTTCAACAAGGTAAGTCTCTCCCGGGGTCTAAAGGAAAAGAGCCAAGCCACAATTCCAGTACCAAAAGCCAAAATACATATATGCATGCTGATAATTGGCTGCACGCTGATTGAATATGCATGAGTCATGAGCAGATGGAGATTGCGGCTCTGTGATTGTGATTGTGACTCTGTGCAGCCGCGAAGATTGAGACTGCAGAGTGCAGGACCCACCGCCGTTGCACTTCAAAAATGCAGTTGCCAAAAAGTTCAGAAGGTGTACAAAATATTAGGGATTTGTCTTTATTTATTTAGGAAAAATGTAGAATGTTTACAAAATTATTACTCGAGTAGTAAGCAATTGGTTAGCACATTAACACATTGCTTAAACTTTTTCATATGATTTTAATTTGCACAAATAAAATTATGTAGATGTTACTTTAACCATTTTTGATAATGTAAATTCAGTAAAAATTCGTTTACCCTTATACGAAGTTTGTAATATTTAAATATAGGTCAATAAAACCGTATACAAATTTTCAAAGCGCTTTATTGTGGAAAAACAAAAGAATAAATACCATTTAAAAATATTGAAAGTTAGTTAAAATCGTACAGAATTCTTAAGAATATTAACCAACGGACTGTTTCCTGTTTTATGGGTTTTTAAATCCCTATTATAATATCTGTTTAATATAAACCCCTTTTTTCGTTTAGTGCACCGCCGACTTTCGTTTAAGCCGGAATGAAAAACCGCTAGGCGCATGGCTTCGCTTTGGTTTAAACCAACATCATTCATATGTCGAGTGTCCCTCTATCATGCCCCCAAAAGCCGAAAGCCCGGCTGAAATTGTTTTTGGCCAAGTAATTGCCGCAGCGTCTAGGCACGCACCCAGAGCAGCCAGGCGGGCCAAAATTGCTGGGGGCCCCCTCGAATGAATACCTCAGATTCAGAGATCCTCGAGTCCATTCGGATCGGTCCCCAGAGGTCCCATCCTCCTTTAATGCGCATGCGCGCAGGTCAACGCGCAACCGAACAAGATCGTTCGCTCTTTACTTACCTATTTGCGCTGCTATTTTTTCTGATTTTTTTTTTTTTTTTGTGGATAATTACGAAAATTGTTTTTCAAATTAGCGTTGTGCGGTACATAGGCCCATAGATAACACACCAGACTGGGGAACTCTTAACTCTCGGCTCGCATCTCTAGGTGCTCAGTGTTCAGTGCTCAGCTTGCAGACAGAAACGAAAAACTGGAGGAAACCCATGTGAAACTGTTGCAGATCCGCGGCATCCGTACTATACCTATACCATACCATACCATACTATCTCAAAAACCACCAACTCCTCCAACTGCAAACTGCAAGTCTTCTCTGTTGGCCAGGCAATTTCACAATTGCAATGGTAACAACGAGCGTCTGCCTGGCATTGCTATAAATATTGCGATAAATCAAAATGTGCGATTTATGTGTTCTACAAATTGCAAAAAATTAAACTTAAGTACTGCTCTTTTCTCCATCCATCTCATCTCTCTCCTCCGCAGAAATTCCCAACCCATCGTAAGTGTGAGAAATAGTCGGCGTTTCATGGGTGCCTACTCGTTTCGTATCTTTTGGGCTATTTGGGTGTGTAGTTGCTGTTTTTGTTGTTCATTGTCATTGCACCGTTTAAAAGCATTTATAATCACAAATTGTGTTAATATTGGCACGCCATCGAAATCGCTTTGTATCGTTTTTTTTTTTTTCCGTTTTGTATCTCCCATCCAAGTTCAATGGATTCGTTTGCTCTTCGTCTGAGTTTTTTTTATAGATATATGTCTGTGGGTGGGTGTGGCTGGCCGGGCGAGATAGTCGCGATTAATGAAATACATATTTATAAAACGAAATTGAGTTTTCAATACAATGAGATTCTTTCCGTTTTTTTTTTACTTTATATGCAAGATCTTGAGCCCGGCGGCTTGGCTGTTGGATCAGATCAGATCGAAGAGCGTATAATTGGCTAGCATTTAGTATTGTCGTGTTTGCTAGCGAATCTCACAAGAAAAGGCAAAAAGCTGTGAAGTGGTCACAGATTAAAAATAGTTTTCGGTTGTGGTTCAAGGTGTTTGATTTATGCAGGTTGGTCCGCTTTTACATTTTAAATTACTATAGTTTAGTAAAGAATACAGAAACTCAATTTAGTAAAGCTTATCCTAAAAAGAAAATTGTTCCTATTTTAAATGGATAAAATGTCATTAGTGTTAATATTTTACATTTTATTGGTAATTAATATGCCACTTAAATATTTATCAAAAATTCTTTAAATATTCGTGGTACCTTTTAGACATTTTATCTTTGTTACTACTTATTTTGAGTTACATTCAGTGAGATAAATAATAAAGTCAGCAACATTCCCTTGCCCTTGTATATTACATTGTAGCCAAGTGGAAAAGCATTGAGCTGTTGCTGCCACTCCCCTTTTATTTTTATTTTGGCTGAATCAGGCACCGCTGACGACAGACTTCTTGGCAAAACGGATTTCTGAGTATTTTGCCCGGATAGTGGGTAATATTAAAGGCCCAGCGAAAAATCTGACTGCATTCATGGCCTTTCCGTTCAAGTTCAATGAAATTACCAGTTGCGGTTGCTGCTGTTGCAGTTGCTGCTGCTGCTGCTGCAGTTGCTGTTGCTGTTGCCGTGGTGATTGTGGCCTGATGCTGATTTTGTGGCTGTTTCTCTTCGGTTTTTTGTTTTGTTTGCCAGGTGCGGGAGTATCTCGTAGTGTTTTAAAAATAATTGATCTTGATGCTGCCTGCAATGCAGCTGCAAAACAGCAATTGCACTCAGCGATCGCAGCCTGATGTTGCTGTTGCCACTATCGTTGATGTTGCTGCTGCTGCTGTTGCTATTGCAGTTGCTGTTGTTGTTGTTGCTGGCTCTTAGTGACAATGACACATTTTCTTTTTGTGATTCACTTGTTTTTGTTAGGCGGCAAGCAAACATCGTTGCCTCATTGTATGTAGAATATAATCAATGAATTAACAATCACAAGTGCACCTAACAATCGCCGTCACAAAGTGAGCAAGAGGGATCCGAGTCTATTATTAACAGATAGTTTTTTAATTAGCCAGGCCTTTGCATACAAATTACCGCCATGGGAAAATACTCATATCCACTTAGTGGATATTTATCCCCCAACTATTTTTTATACGGATGTCTTGATCGGCAGGGCGCGCCTGCGCAAGATACACAAAAGGTCAATTAACTTAATTGGCAGTATTTTTTTTAAGAATCCGTTTTCTTTCCTCCTCTCATTGCAGTTTTCAAGCGTCACAATGCGATACATCATCTCCATCACCAGACAGCAACACCAAATATTGGCTTCTCAAAGGTAAGAAATATGGAAAAACTTTACATTTAAGATCCTTTTCGAATTAAGATATATTTTAAAATAGACATAAAATAAGAAAATATTTTTTTACATGTTTTAAAAATTACCAAAATATATTTCTCTAATTGTAGGTTATTTAATTAACTTCCTAATGGTAGAAAAAGCCCTATCTTGAACACCGAAATAATCTTAATTTGCTTTCTCATTTCCTTGGAAATATTCCCCAACAATTCATATTCAATCAGTGGGTAATTAGGGGTCCGATTGGCCGATCTGCGTTCATTTACCATATAACCTGGGCAATTTTCCATTTCCGATGACATTTCGATTAGGCTTCCCAGGGAACCGAGAGAAACAACTCAATTTAAGCCATCGCGGTGACAACTCAACCGAAAGTTCCCGGGAAAACAACTCTATTAATGGCACAAAAGCTGGCCATATCATAAGTCAGAAATCGTTTTGCTCGCCGCCACTTGCTGCGCCAAAAGCGAGAAGAGGAAATCAGCCAAAAGCAAAAGCCAGCGGGCCAAACAATAAATGCCCGGGAAAAGCCAACAGATTTACAGGAGCAGCAACCACCAAACAAAAAAAAAACAAAAAAACTACAAAAAACAGAAGACAGTAGTCAGTCAAGCTGCCTGGCACTGACTGCTCCAATCCGGGCGAGATTGATCTACATACCTGTGCACACTCGTGACTGAATTAAATACTATAACCACAGTACGAGTACTACTCATATACCAAAACCCATACTCCCCCTTTTCAGTTCGGTTCTCTTCGGAAGCTTTTTTCTGCCGGTTGTCAACGTGGGTTTTTTAGCCAGGCTTTTGGGCTAACAATTTATTAGTGCTCAGACGCGAAAATGAATTTGCATTTCCAACACAAGATTCAATTTATGCTTTTTCAAATAGAGGGTGTTGAAAATGTAGTAGCTTTTATGCCTGATAAGGCGTTTAAATTAAGGAGACGGCTTTAAAAATAATTGCATTTTAAAATGGGTAATTGAAAATGGAAGAAAATAAGACGGTAAAGACTTTCTATCATTTAAGAATATTGGTATTCAGAAAAAGATGTAAAATCATCATAGAATATTGATTATCCCTAAAAATTGCTATGGATAATTATATAAATTTTTTAAAAGTATAAGAACCTTTAAACAATTAAACCGAAAAAAAGAGTTTAACATTAAATTTATTATATTATTATTAATAATCATAATCCATAAGCAAATCAATAGAACTCTTAAAGATTTGAGAATTATGCTCATCCAAACAAAATTCTTTCTAGGATTAAAAACTAATATTCCTTAAATACTTTATTATTTTAGGAACATTTTTAAAGCACAAACAATCACCCTGTACTCACATTCGTATTTGTTTTACAGGCACTCTCCGGCTTCTTGATGATGCTCACACAAAATGGCAAATTGCTCTATATATCGGATAATGCGGCCGAGTACTTGGGCCATTCCATGGTAAGAGATTTTTTTTTTTTTTTTTTAAAGACTTTTGCGAAAGTTGCGGATTGTTTTTGGGCTGGTTTTGTGTTTCGGGGGTCGCAAAATAGCTACAACCGTTGATACAAATCTCTGACAAGCGACAACAGGCAAACGACGATGCCTGTCGTCGTCGTCAGAGCATGTCATAGTCTCCCAACAGCAGCAGCAACATAAGCACAGCAGCAACATCAGCGTTGCAGCAGCAACAGCAACAGCAAACATATTTGTTGCACTTTTTGTGTGCTGTACTAGTTGCTGATGTTGTTGCTGCTCCCGTTGACAAGTTAGCAACTGTCTAAAGACCCAAAGAGACCCGATTCATTGAGCTTATATAAGTCGCTTGGTTTTGGTTCCTTAAAAACCACACAGCTCCGTGTTTCAAGCTTTGTTTATTGCACGTTTATGCCGCTTAAATAGCAAGGTTATACATACTTATTCGTATATATAGATAGAGTTGCATATGTACTTGGCCTTTCACTTTGCATTTTGAACTGACGGTCTAAATAAATCTAGCCAACCCGAGAACATGTGACATATCTCTATTCTACATATAGAGAAACAGAAATAACAGAGCCGACATTGACAAAGGTACCTGAGATTGGGCGACCAGGTGATTGTCGGCTCTTCGAAGTCAAACGGGGCGTATGTGTAATGTCTGCGCCCCACTAAAAATTATGCCATAAATCACAGACTGGCCTGTGATCCCAAATAAAAAACCTGATCAGCTTCATATCAATAGGAAACGCTCCACTTGTTTTTTTTCTTAGCCAGACAACCTTTCATATCAACTAAATGTTACCCCCTCTACAAGTCAAAAATGTAGACAAGAACAAGCCAGCGGCAAGACAGGAGAAGCCAAAAAAGTTAAGAAGAAATATATAGAAGGAAAAAACGAAGTAAGCCAATTGGCAACCATGACATTTGACAGCCTTTTGGCCTTTGTGCCGAGCGCCTTATCAGGAGTTCCGAGGAGCTAAGAGGAGTTCCAGGGAGTGGAGAACCCAGGGAGACACCCACAAGCCCACCAACCCACCGAAACCGAACTAAATGGTCAGTGAAGTTCATAAATTCACTCGTATGCCATGTGTTGGCATAATTACGGGCACTATAAAAAGCGCAATTGGTATGGTGTGTGCTCATGGACAGGCCCAAAAGTGGCTTGCCCAACCTTTTAATTTGTGTGGCAAGGCTCGGAGTTAGTTAGCGGCGGTAGAAACGGAAAAACGGAAAAAGAGCTACAAAACAGCAGCAGCCAAGTTAATTAACAAACTGCCAAAAATGTCAATTGATCTTGGCAACATTGTGGTTGCTGTGCTGCTGCTGCCTTTACTATTGCCGATGTTTCTGCTGTTGTTCGGGCATCATAATTCGAATTCGATTTTTGCATATTCCCATAACAAGTTGCCATTGTCATGTGTCATGTAGCGACAGTGGCCATAAATAAATTACAACCACATCTTGGCTTGCCATTATAAATTGGTCGATCGGTTCGTTTAGTTTCGCTTCGTTCCGATCCGATTCGATCGCTCTCTCCTTCGCTGTGGCCATAATTGTCAACAATAATAAAAGCTCATGACATAAACGGCCAGCAGGCAATTGGCCACAAACATCAAAGCAACATCGAAGGCGATGAGCCAGCGAAATCCGTTGACACATCATTAACAAGTTACAACAATAGACTGACTAATTGAAATTTAATTTGAGAGGAAAGAAAAGGATCTCAATGCTTATAATATATTTAAAAGAAATAGATATTTATCAAAATTGATTTTACAATTTTCTTCAATTTGTTTAAGCGTCGTAAAATATTTTAAATAAATTTGTTGTATGTAAATCTTTAATTTGAAAATGCTTTTTGTGAATAGTTTATTTCAAAAGTAATTTATTTTATTTTCCACTGTTTTTTATAACTTTTAAATATTATAAAAATAATTACAAACATTTACTTTAAATATTTAAAAGGTATAGTTACTATAATATTTTAAAGCTACATAGTATTGTAAAGCATCCCTGGGATATACAAAATTATTATTCTGTGTGATTTAAAAATCTATCGACTTTGTCACCTTTAAATCTTTCGCTAAACACCACTCGCATTAATATGGTAATGCCCAACTATTTGCTGACCAGTGTAAACCCGTGTTAACCATGTCCCCAATGCCGTTCTCGTTACAGGAGGATCTGCTGATACACGGTGACTCCGTTTACGATATCATTGACAAACAGGATCACGCAACCATCCAGGCCGAACTGAATAGGAACGTGCCGCCGCAGCCGGGTGGCTCGATCTCGAGTCAGGCGAACAGCGGTGGTGGTGCCGGTGGTGCTGGTGGTGCCGGCGACTCAACGTCCAGCAATGGAAGTGCCGGCGGTGGTGGTGCTGGTGGCGCCTCCAGTCTCGAGGGCGAGCATCGCATGTTCCTCTGTCGCATGAATGTTAGCCGCAATGCGCGACGGCAAATGCGTTTCGGCGATCAAAAGGTGAGTGTCAAAGCACTGAGAAGAAAAACGGAAAATTTTAGGATTTCCTATTTAATTTTTTAGAAACATTCTTACTCAGCTAAACAGCTATCCTTGTTTATTTGATAACATAACATAATATTTGATTACCTAACATATAAATCTAACCCATTTGATCTAAGAACTTATATTTTTTTAAATCTGAAAAACGAGTTGGGAATTATAAGCCATCATTAATGCAATTTTTATATGGCAAACAATAAATAGGCATTTATTAAAAGTACTTCAACTTTTGCCTTCTTTTAAACACTCCATATCGATTCAATGATACATTTTTAATTAAAATCTAGTTGATGTTGCCTAATTTTTTTCTGCGTGCACGTTTGCGTGGATGAGTAAGCGCGTGTAAGTCTCTGACAGGAATTGATGAATGAATCACCTGGGAAGCGTGTTGCGTGTAACACTTTACCACACTGCAGGCTCCTCCGATTCCCCGATCGTCCGCCGCTCAACATCGACATCTTGCTCCGGCATGAATTATGCATGAGGGCAGGGAAATGGAGTTGGAGTTGCGAGTTTGGAGTAGAACTCTTCGGAAACTCATGCGTTTGAGCCGGCGGCGGCCAACTGGTCATACATCTTGCCAACGAGCCGGGTTTTCTATAAGCTGACAAACGATGACAGTTGATGGGAAACGGGTGGGTGATGGTTGTGATGGTGCCCCAACCCACCTGGTTTTTTTTTTTCTCTTTACCTGCTCTGATTGGCCGCCTCTCGGGCGAGATGATGATGATGTGAATAAAACGAGGCGGCCATATGAAGTTGTCTTCCCAGCCATCTCAACTCAATTCAGCTCGGCTCAGCCGCAGGTTGAACAAGACAAGACCAAATCTGTCAACGTGTTGAGCGAAGCGTTGGCTGTGGCAGCAGCTTTTACCCGTTTTGGTCATGGATGTTGAATATGTTGGCTATGTTGCCTCCGTTGGCTCTGTGCTACTGTGCACCATGTGATGTGGTGGGCGGTCGCTTCACTTTTATTCATATCTCCAGCGATCCGAGACGCGTCCATTTTTTTTCTCTGTTTGCACTCGCTTTTTTGCGCAGATGTGCAGTGAGCAAAATTATGGAGATAAGCCCAGGCGTTGACAGTTGGCTGAAAACGTTTTTAATTAAGTTGAGTGTTGGCAGTTTAATGAGGTGCAGGAAGTGCAGAGCAGAGAGATTTTTATGGATAAAGGTGTAAGACTTTAACTCGGGGTAGGCAATGCAAAATAAGGAAGTGAAAAAATTATTGTACATTATTTTTTAAAATAAAGAATTTACCAATTTATTTAGTCCCCTAAATAATAAGACAAAGCTGTTCCATCATAGCCATTATTTTCTTACCCTGAGAAGCCCCTATAAAAACTAACCGAAACTAATATGGCACAATAAAATTAAATGTATCAAAAGCTATAAGGCAATATCAATTAGAAACCCCTCTTAAAATGTAATAACAGAATGTTAGAGTTTTGGAATGTCCAATCCATTCCCAGCCTTGCTCAGAACATAAGTGCCTAATCTAATCCCAAGCACACTCGACGCTCAAGACCCACATGAACTGAACCGGCGATAACCCCGCAACATCAAGCCTTTTGGCCAGAGCCAAGCTAAATCCAAGCACATTCACTCCCAGGCCGGCACTCGTTAATATGCAATAAAAATGGACCAATAAATAATTATGAATGAGGTCAGACATAGTTCAGAGCTAGTAACCAGTGGGCCAGACGACAACCGTACCCCATAGACAAAAGCCCAAAATGAAAAATTCGAAAAAATAAAAACAAAAGCCAGGGAAAAAGAGAAGAGACGGCGGCGACAGCGCCGGCAGTGGCGCCTGGTCCCCAGTCTAAGGTCGTCTCATTTACCAAAAACTGAGAAAAAACTGAGAAAAAACTGAAAAAAACAAACCCCAACCGACGGGTTTTTTTTGTGGGGGATCGGGTGGGTTTTTGGTATCAGGATCGTTGGGCTGGCTGCATTTGCATTTAAGCAGAAGAAGCTGCGACGACGGAGGCCCATAAGCCTCGAAAATGCAATTGCAGTTCGAAAAGACGACGAAATAAATGCAGGCACGTTTTAATTGGGAGACAATGGCTCCGATTCGACGAGCCTGAGACTGCCTGGTGGGTTTTTTCTGTTTTTTTTCTGATTTTTTCCTCCTCTGTGGAGGAGTTGGCATACAAACATTTCTGTGATTGCCTTTTTTAAATTATGGAATCAGAGTAAAATGTCTATGAGAGAGTGCGCCGGCATGCCGGTACTAAAATGGCCATAGTAAGTAGGTACTCCCCCAGAGTGCCCCACGTTGGGCGCCAATTTTCGTGGGAGCCAATGCACAGAACAAAGCTAAACGCGTTTTTTTCTTCTGTTCTTTTTTCTTGCAGGTTGTCCTGGTCCAGGGCCACTATTTGTCATTCCTGCCCCTCTGCAGTCGCAACGAGCCCGTCTTTTTGGCCACCTGCACTCCAATTGCCATGCCCGAAACGAGGGAGTGTGTGGTGCAAGGTGCCACCAACGTCTTCACCACCATCCACTCGATGGACATGAAAATAGCCCACATCGACAAGAAGTGAGTAGCGGTGAGATAAATACTTAATGCTTATTGTTATTTTATTGCTTTCAGTGGCGAGTTTCATTTGGGCTATGATAAGGCCACGCTACAGGGCACATCCTGGTACAATCTCATTCATAGCGAAAATCTGAGGGAGGCGCAGAATAAGCACAGATTAAGTAAGTGTTTACTTCATAAAAATTAAGTTAATAGCTCAGTGCTTTAAAAAATATTAAATGTTGATAATATCTAATATTTAAATTTACATCGGAAACTAGTAAATATGTAAATATAACTTCAAACCAGCCTATACGGCATAAAAGCTTTCAAATGAAATATTGATACTATTAATATCAAAAGCACATTAAATTTATTTATAATATCTACATCTTAAATTATTCAAAATTCAAAGCTGATACACTCGTGTTAAACCTTTCTATTAAATGGTTTTTTTCCAATGGTTGTCGACAAAAAATATTTAAATGTATCTAACTGGAAACCTGTTGAGTCGCAAAGGAAAAAACCATTTACAGTAGATTGCTTTTATACAATAAGAATTATATCTTTAAATATTTAAAAAATATCTTTCTAATCTTATAAATTTATCCCCGTTAATAGTTACGCAATCGGAACAGGATCGCAGCTGTATCCTGCTAGTGCGAATGCAAAGATCTAGTGGAGAATACACGTGGGTCCACGTGGTCTTACAAGTGAGAGATAGTCCCGATTCCACTCAACAACCTGTTATTGTATGCACCAACCAAGTACTCAAGTGAGTTTATCAAAAGTTACTTCATTACAATAATAGTCAATATTTTTTGTTAGTTTGCAAAATATAATTTAAAGCTCTAAAATAATTTTCAAAAAGTTTTTTTGGATTAGTTTTTAAAGTAGTCGTTTTTAAAAGTAGTAACTAAAAATGATTTATAAATATTTACAATATATATTTTCCCTCTATAAAACCCCTTTAAATTTCCCTTTTCAGTGATCGCGAGGCCTCGATAATGCTGGCCAACTCCTGGCTGTATCACTACTATACCGTCCAGTCGAAGATCCAGTTCGGCATGCCCTTGGACAGTGGAATCCGAGTGCCACCGGGAACCCCCTCGAGTGGCTACTACAGTCCCCATTCGTCCCATCCACCGGCCACTCCGGGAGGAGGCGCCACTCCCAACCTCGGCATAGCCAGTAGCTTTGGCAGCCATTCGCACCATCCTCATCACTCCCACCACCCGCACCACCACCATCATCACCACCATCCTGCAACGGCCTACCATCATCATCCGCATATGGGAACCTATGGCGGAGTCTATCATGCCGAGGCGGCCATCGATCTTAAAGAGGATCAACCGCTTTTTAGCTTTCAAGAGCCCGTCGACTACAGCCAGGTGAATAGCCAGGTGAATCCCCCGGCGAGTACTCCCAATCCACCCGCCTCCAAGTCGGCCACGCCCCCGCCGCCCAAGAAGCGAGCTCGCAAATTGGAGCCCCTATATCTTCACGCCGAACGTTCTCCGGCGGCTGCGATAACCCCCGAACCCGATTGCTATGCCATCCATACTCACCCGGCTGCCGCCTATGCCACCTCGTCGTCGGTGGTCAGTAGCGATGCCTCCGTTATATATGCCACCATAGTTCCGACGAGACCGAGGCTACCCAACAAGTCACTGCCACCCGATCCGGCGGACTTCATCGAGCAGTGGAATCCCAGTCCCCCGTGGTCGGAATCGGCGCAAAAGGCTTCGCTGGACAGTTTTGGATCCTCGCACGAGCTGAGTCCCTGCATCACGACCACGCCCCCCACGCCCACCAGTGCCACACCGCATCAGAGTGGTCTGGGCACCACCCAGACCATTGGACCTGCCTTCAGTTTCGAATGGATGTCGGATCCCCTGGTGCCCGTTACCTATCAGCAGTGGCCACCCACCGGGGATCATCATCAGCATCTCTCGCAGCACTTGAGCCAGAGTCAAAGTCAGAGTCACCAAAATCCTCTCCAGCAGCAGCTACTCCTGGGAAATCCTCTACAGCCACATCTCCACCAGCACCAGCAGCACCACCAGCAGCAGCAGAATCATCAGCATCAGCCACATCACTTAACACTTCATCATGGACGTGGGGCGGAGCACTCTTTGGAGGGGGAAAGTCAAGGGGTGGTGGTGGTAGGGCCACCACCGATACCCATTTCGATACCGATACCCACGGCGGCGGTGGCCACGGGCCATGGGGATGCCGGCGAACCGGTTGAGGATAGAGGTTAGTATATTTACTCTGTTTTTTTATTTAACTTCTGGCACGATTTCCAAAAAGCTGCGGCCAATTCGCACTCGATTGCTAAGTAATTAAGGCCGCCGAAAACAAAAAAGGCCGAGAACTAGTAAAAGGCAGCTTAATTATTGATAAGCCATGGGCTTCCGCCCCAAGCACATGCCACGCTTATGCTAATGCTAATATCATATCTATATCTGTATCATTTTTTCAGATCCCAAAAATTAGTGAGTAGCTTGGAAAAAGCTTGGAAATACCCAGAGATCACAGATCGGAGAGCTGCCAGGTGATAATCACACTTAAATTAATTGCCACTTGTCATCTTAGCGTTTAAATTATTTTTATCTAACAAAGAAAAAAAAAGAGAAATAAACGCAAAACGCTATAACACATTCGTTTCTCAAAACAACAGCTAATTTAAGTGATTTCCATATGCGTCCCTTTTGTTTTCCAATTCCCATTTTGTATGTGCAATCTTGAAGAAAAACACTTAAAAATAAGAATGAGTAGCGCTTGGAAATTAGTTTTCGCGATAGAAACAAAAGCAAATACCATATTATATTCCAAGCCAAGCCAAGTGAGCTCTATTAGTTGTAGCGTTTTTATTAGCGACATTTTTATGGCGCGCGCTTAAAGTTCTTTTTACGATTACTCGTATTTCTGTATACCGCGTATTCGCAACTCCGCAAATATCTTTATATATACATACTTCTACATAGACTATTTAGGTTAATTATTTTATTTTATTTATTAAACGTTTATTTATACACATATTTATTACCATGCTTTCGTATTTTGCTTATTGAATAAACAAACTTGTAAAGTATTTTCGTTTGAAGGAAATTCCATGAGTTGTTTTTATGAGTGGGAAGAGAATGGACTGCAGAATATTTCCGGCTGAATAAATTATGATATGTGATTGCAAAAAAACTCAACAAAATTTTCTTAACTTTAATGGGCAATTATAGAAATCTTATGGACAATAACTTCTTACTGTCTATAAAAAATCCATTTATGTCGGAAATGGTTAGAATATTTGCATTTTACTTATGTGCACAAATTAACAATATAGAGATTTTATCTTTATTAAGTTTTCAATCGAAATAACCAACTTGACCCAAATTCCAGCACATGTCTTAGACAAGGCAAAAATCTCAGTAATGCGCCTTTTAATCAGTGATCATAATATGATTACCATAATGACGAAGAAAAGCGCGATGGAAAAATGTCATGATTTTCCTCACGGGTCCTCCATTAATGCCTTGCACTCTGAACCAGCAAGGCAGAATTCGAATCATTCGCTTTCGCCCAGAAACTAACCAACCGAAAATCCCAAAAAAAAAACCAAAAGCCACTCCCCACACCGAAAAAACGCCAAGTTTGGGTTAGCATTCATAGACATTTTCAATTTCAAAGTACTCGTACTGGGGGCACCACTTCATGGTGACGACGAACCGCCGATGAAACCGATGGAAACCTCTATGAAACCTCTTTGAAACCTCGGCGACGACGCAGAACAGACGCCAGACAGTTGGATTTCACACACAGGCCCACTCGAGAGTTGCGGCGATGAGGAGGCTGGCTCCTTTTTTCGGCTGCTGCTGCTGCCACGGCTGCTGCTGCCAAGATCTTTTGGTGATATCCAACAAATATTGTAAGTAGAATGGCCAGCAAAATAACCAAAAAACAAAGCAAACAAAAAACCCAGAGAGAGGAGAGAAAAACCTAAGCTAAACGGAACGGAACGCTGACGATGTAGACGCCGCAGCTGGCGCGATTGAATGACTCCTCGTCGTCGTCCGTTGTCGGTTGTCTGAGATACTGACTGGCCATGTGACTATGTGACTGGCTATGGCTATGGCGAGCTGGATCGGGAAAGACGGCACTCGCAGAAATAGTAAACGAAATCGGGAGTCCAAATAAATATATTCTATGAAGGGGAAAATATTTATAGGTCCTTAAAACATCACTTTAATAGTCATTTGAAGGTCTAAAATTGATAAATGTAAAACAATACAATATCTAGAAAAATATTATATTACAAATATACAATTTTTTTTTAACTTTACATATTTTTATAAGTACTCTAACTAATAAAACATTTAATACTTTCGATACAATATTTTTCAGGATATTACCAATAGTTAAGCTCAATTTTTAATTTTGCAAAATATATTTTTTAAGCTAAATTTATACTTAAAAATTTAATTTTTAAAAATAATTCAAAGTTAAAAGCCATTTTTAAATAAAATTTAAAATTTTAAAAATAAAGTATTATTTTTAGAACAAATAAATATCTCTTTTACTACCATAACATAAACATAGACCTAAACTGTCAAAATATAAAAATAAATATAGAATAGGTATATTTATTTCTCCCTGTGTACCACTGAAGCTGCAGATGGAGACTTGGGACTGGACGAGGACGACACACTTACAGGCGACGACGTTGGCCAACAGCAGCATTCTCAGAAATATTGGTGTAGGTCACAGTCGCAGATAACATACAGTGCTTAGTCGGGGGAGGGGAGGAGGAGGGGGCTCTGGTAGAGGGGAGGGTGTGTGCCGCAGTCCTGGCCTCATTGTATGCAAATGTGCCACGATCACCACCCGCCCAGGCCGATTCGATGATCCTCCCGTCCGATCCTCCCATACTCCCATCCCCCCAAAACCCAAACCAAATCCAAATCCATCGGCCACCACTGCTCTTCATGGGTGCCAGAATCGTTTTGTGTGCAAGTTACTCGAATTCGCATTCGCGTTTTCTGTATTTCTGTTTCTTTGTTTTTTTTTGTTTTTCTTTTTTTACGATTTTTTTGAGTTGTGCGATTTTTGGCATTTTTGCATTTCCTTTGTTTTTGTCCTAGCCAAGAGATGCTTATGTAAGCGACAACCGAGGAGACGACGACTCCTGGCTGAGGCTGCAGGAGCAGCACGAGGACTGTTACATATTTCCCCATAGCCTTTAATATTAGCCAAAGGCCAAATGACATAAAATCATGGTGGTAGTATGTTCTACGAATAGTTTATACTCTATCTAAAATCAATTAACTATTTAAATTATGTTACAAATATTTTGAAGCTTATGATTTTTAAATAGTTTCAAAAAATAGATTCTTAGTAACAAAAAAATTTTAAATTAAATAAAATAATAAAAATTAATAGGAAGGTACTTTACAGTTTTTAATAGAGGAAAATGTACTTAATAAACAAAAAAAAAACCAAAAATACTTTGAACAATAATTTTAGAAGTTTTTTTAGAAATCTCAATTATTTCACAAAACTATTTTTATTAAAAGTTTATAAAAATTGTAATAAAACTTGAATTACTTCAACTTATTTTTTTCAATTTAAGAAAGGTCTTTCCTCTGTTTATTAGCTAATGTATCCCAGTCAAAAGTGTATTTCAAAAGGTAAACAACGCAAAGAAATTTATAAATAAACGTCGACGACAATGGGAATGCTGGGCGCACAAAACCAAACATTTCAACAGGAACAACATGTAATTTTTGTACCGTCCGACCTCCTCCCGATCCTCCAGCTCCTCCATCTCCCCCAGCTCCTACTCCTCTTAAAGCCTCCCACAATCCTGGCCATATGCAATGCCTTGGCCGGGGTCACGACACTTTTTGTGGCAGCAGCAACAGTCGCAGCAGCAGCAACATAAACAGTCGCAGGAGCCGCAGCGATCCGAGTCAAATAGTGGGAGAAGTATGGCAAAAAGTCCCTCCTTTTGCAGCTTATTGTCTTGGCCACAAAACAGTTGGCCCCGCTGGATAGCTTGGACATTTCGAAGACCCTGCAACTGAACCCGAACCCGAGCCCGAACCCAAAAACCAAAACCCAAACCCAAACCAAAGCAAAGACCGAGGCGACTGCCTGGCGTCAAGAGAATGCGTTGAGCTTGTTGCCTTTTGGCTTTGATTTCGCATTGTGGAACTTTTCTTAGGAAAAAAATGTTACATGAAATTAATAAATAGGCAAATAAATGTTAAACAGCTGCTGTTTTGTACGTGTTCTGTTGCACGCGCACGGTAGCCATTGTGCTGCACACAGGGTGGTGCCTTTTGGTGGTGCTATAGTGGCCATAAGGCTGGTGGTGATTCTGCTGCTGATTCTGGTGGCGATGATGTTGCCCCAGGTATTTGCATAACACCACGGCGAGCTTAAGGATTCCCGAAACCAAAATTCAAACCGAAACCCAAGACGAAGCAAAAGCCCATTTTGCCATGGATCTTTCCCAGGCCCTAACCATTTACTTCCTGCAACTACTCGCAACTTGCAACTAGCAACTGGCAACCACCTACTAAGCAGTCCCTCGAGGAGCTGGATTTCTGGATCTCTGCCACTGCATGCCAAATCATTTTTATGCACTTCACAGCAATTGCCAATGGAACTAATGCCCCAGCTCTTAAAAGCCAAATATATTCCGCTCCGCCCTCACCGAGAGCAATGCCTGAAAATCGTAACTAAAGAAAACCAATAGCCAACGAGGAGAGTTGACCACTAGGATGACCTACAAGAGAAGGGGCAGGGCATATGGGTGATATTATAAATGTAAAAAATTTATTATTTAATTTTAAAATTAGGAATAGGATTTTACAATCTGATAAATGTTTAAATTAGGTAACTTATTTTACTATACAAAAAATACATTTTATTATTTTATTCAAAATTGTATTGGAAAATGTTTATCTATTTTTCTTTTATTTATCGACTATTTTAAATAAAGCTTGAAATACTTTATTTAAAATAGGTTAAATACCAAACCTAATAATTCTATGCAGAACCCCCACCCCGATTTTCGAATAATATTTCAATCCAACTTGGATTAAAGCCATTCACTACACACACTTTCCATCGTTTGCATTTCAAATGTTAAGAGGCGGCTTTTTAGTGCTATATTAATATGTAAGCCACTCCAAAGCCGAACAGCAAACATAATAATTCGTCTATAATTTATACACAATTGTGGGTAAAATGTGTACAAGCATAATTTACACATAAACAAGCCAGAAATCCAGGCAACAGTGGCTAGCACACACACACACACTAGTAAACTTAACAAGGCTTAGAAGGGGAAGATAAAAATACCAGGTAGAAAAGAAGAGGACCAGGGTGACTGAGAAATTGATCAACGCTGTGGCGGGACATAAACTAAAAGCTTATTTAACATTAATTTCGCCACGAAAATCACAGAGCAATTTTAAACATCAGTTACATGGGTTTTTGGCGAGAAGAAGGGGCCTTTGGTTTTTCCAGGGGGATTCGCCGATCCGTTTGGAAGCTGCAGTCAACATGCGAATCTCTGCTTTAGCCCCCCACCCAACCCCACACACCTGCCCATCGGGATCCCGTGTAATCTAAGCTGCCATTAAACAAAATACAAGAAAAAACTTACGAAAACATATGCTACATATTACCTCTGCGGGAAGGTGAGGCATTTTGGGAATAGCCATGGGGATGAGGCGAGGTGACGGAAGTTTAGAAGCGAGCTGCACCATGGGAAAAGATCTTATTTATTGTATAGTAAAAATAAACAGAATATTCTAAAAATGTTGAATCTTTAAATAAGAAATGGATTGTGATAAGGATAAAATTTGTGATTTTTAATCTTAAAGGTAACCTCTTTTTTTGTATTCTGATAATAAAAAACTAAAAACAAAAAGAGTGAGAGAAAGAAAAAAAAGAATATTTCAATCCGAAAGCCAACCATTTTATTGTGTATCTTAGTTTCAAAAGTGATTAAAAAAAGGAAATAAATAAATTA